GAGAGAGAGAGAGAGAGAGAGAGTTGGAAAAATATAAAATTAATAATATTTTATTATATTAAATGTTTTATGGGTTAAAATATAGATATGGTTAGCCAGGAGCCAATATTATAATATATTTGATAAAAATACTTAATTTATTTATACATTAAATAGAAATTTACAGTATTTTATTAATGTGTTACAAAATTTATTTAACAAAACAATAAAAGCAAATATTATAATCATAAAAATTATGCCGATCTGACGTGATCCAATTTTAATGCTAAATTTATGTTTAAGTAAAATAATATTTTTAAATTACAATTCAATTACAGTTTAATTTACAAGGCAATTAAATGTATATTATTGTAGATATTTTATACTAAATACTGACCAATTTAACAAATTAACAATTTTAAAAGAAATAGTTTTATTTAATAATTATTAGCAAAGAAAACAAAATAGTTATTATTACTTTGTTTAACAACAAATAGCAGCAATACATTTGCCATTTATGTCACACAATAATTATATTTTTTATAATTAAGCTAAAACAATAGTGTTATTATGTTATAATGGCTAAAACGTGAAAATAAATTTAAATAAATAAGTATAAATAATATCTATAATATAGTATTGTTTAAATTAACTATTTTAATTTCAATTTCGTCAAATATTAATTTACAATTAAATTTGAGTAAAGTGAAAATTCATGTTAACAATTATTTTACAGTTTTATAATTCTAAAATGTTTAAAAATATATTTCTAATATATTTAGAAAACATAACATTGAAACTAATAAACGAGTGTTTGGTCAGTGATTTCATTGAATTGTTATTAATTATATGATGCACTTTATGTAATAATATATTAGTTGTTTTGTATAAATATTAGTATAATTATATATTAAATTATTTTAGTTAATAGAAATGGTTCCTCTTTATCGGGCTTTAAGATTGACTGTAACTGATTTACATAACTGTAATTTAATTTAAAATTAGAATTTATATATAGTCTGTTTTGCAAAAGTAATTATACTAGGAAGAAATGTAATTCAATGTATTATTTTTACATTTACACATATATAATATCTATATTTATAATCTAACAATAAATACCATTATGACCATTATGTCCAACTCATTATGATCGCTTACTTAAACTTACTGTTGTATCAATACTAATGCTATTAAATAAATTTATCAGGTTTGCAATGTTGAAAACATTTTGGTGAATTAAATAATTTTATTATATACTGATTATAATTGACTAGCGAAATTATCACTAAATTTTTTAATATTTTATTATTAATAAATTTAATGATACTACTATATTTGCAAAACATTTTAAAATCAAATTAACATCTTTATTTATATAAGTTATATAAAATAAATCGCCACTAAATTAATTCAAAACACTTTATTTAGATGTAAAAAATTTAACAACACAAAATAAATTGTAAATATTCTGGTACATATAATAGTGGGCTTGGGTAAAATTAAACACTTTGCATTGGCTCGTCTAAATCATCATCATTGACCTTTTCGATAATCATTGATGGTTGATGTTTCTCATGTTTATAAACGGCGTTACGCGAATTATCATGGTGATGCTTGTGACCGTGGTGTTTATGGTGACCGCCATGCTTTCTACCAACCGGATGCAAATCAATAATATACTGATTTACTGTAATCCTATCCACTCTGTCCAATAACCTCTGGGTCAATGCTAATTCATCAAGGGCATCGGTCTGGTCTTTACCATCATCAATTTCCACCACTTCAACCTCGTGGTCAGTCTCTCGCTCCTGGCCCTCGTCATCGTCGTCCGGGTCCTCCTCGACCACAACCCGGGGCTCTTGTGCCGGCTCGTCGGCCGGTAGGTCAGACTCTTTGAGGTCAGGTTTAAGCTCGTTATCGTTGGCCAGTCTATGGTTACGCCTATACATAACGTCGCTGTAATAGTTGCCGGCGTTTTGAAGCCCAGGGGGCGCCGGACCGGCGGCGCAATCGTTGCTGTGATAGGGATATTGTGTACAGTTTTTTAAGTTTCGGCGTTCGGTCTCTAGACTCATGTGCATCAGGAAAGCCAAGCGTTCATCTTTAGTGCAATGATCCTGGTGGATTAAGTAAAATATTTGTTTTTATATCATGATTTTATAAAAAAAATGATATAAGTTAGTCATAAAAAATATATTGATATAATTAAGTTATTATAATTTGTATTAATTGGTTGCCCCATCCCCCAATTTAATTATTAAATTATATTTAAGTAAAATATAAATGTGGAATCCAAATTTTATTACAGTTTAATTTGCACATGTTATTCACTTGTAAAATATATAAAAACAAAAACATTAAATAAATATACATTATATACGGTAAATATTAATAACATACATTATTTAATTAGCAAATTATAATCAAATAATATACAGATTACAAATTTTTACTGTAATATTTAATTATATAATTTATAAAATATAGAATATATCAACTGTTATTTTTTTATAAATTAATAATTTTTTTTGTACCAAAACATTAACTATAATACAATTGGAGTGGAACAACTGATGTTTTAAATTTTTATTCTTTTGACATTAAATTTTAACTAACTGTTATACAATTTAACTACATGTATTAACACATTTATAATATGCCATTTAATTTTTAAAAAACATTTCTATTAATGCCAAAGAAAATAGATATTACCATAAGACTTATAATTTGTTTATCATTCATTATAAGATAATAATTACATCTAAGCTACATAAATCACATGTATAAGTCACATGTACTTGTACGCACTTAAACAATCATACAATTGTTGTACATGTACAATTCTTAAAACATTATTGCATCCTATTGCTGTATCTCTCCTTTATTACCATACAAAAAATAGCGGCCATTTTCGCACACAATAAACCATAAATTAAAATTTAAACTCACCTTGCTATTGCTGGTCATGCAGCCGGTCATTTGCCAAATAAAGCAACACACGGGCCGAGTATTATGTACCAGGCGTATCTCTGCAGCTGTTACTTGCCACTTAGTCATACTTTTAGCAATACACTTAATCGAGGGCCCCAATATTTTTGAAAAACACGACTTGGCCAATTTATTCATGGGTTGACTATCTAGATCATCGTCTGACTCGTCGTCCCAGTTATCGTCAAATTGATCTTGCTCATCATGATGGTCACCTTGATTATTATTATTATCATCGATTTTGCCAAAATCACCGGATACTGAGGGTAGCCCTTCGTCCCCCTCCTCCCCCTCATCGTCGGCCGTAATATCATAGCTAATCGGTTGGTCACGTGACTGTGTGGGCACACGTAGGCCCGACACCAGACCTAACACCAGTATAGCACTCGCCGTAAGTATAAATAATTTGTTCATTATTTTTGTGGGACGTATTACATACGTGTCGTCAAAAAAATTTTAAATATATGACTGACTGATATATCGCGTGAGATATTTTTATTATGCACTTTTTATATTAGGCTTTGATTTTGATTATGGTCGTATATATAATTTATATATGTGAGTGCGATATTTACTATAGTAAGCTGTCGTGAACGACAATAAAATGTGTACAGGTAAATTATTAAGTGTTTAGTGATTACAGTAAACACCCGGTACAATTAGCGTGTGTGTTCTTTATAGCGGCCATTTTCGCACACAATAAACCATAAATTAAAATTTAAACTCACCTTGCTATTGCTGGTCATGCAGCCGGTCATTTGCCAAATAAAGCAACACACGGGCCGAGTATTATGTACCAGGCGT